CCTCCTCTTAGGGATATATTTTTTTCTTTCATATCTTAGTCTACTTCAGACACTATCTTTGCTTTTGCCTTTATGGAACAGGCAGTCCCTGATGTGACCACTCAGCTTTTCCTTTAAGTGGATGGTAAGAATTTTTCTGCCCATATCTGGGGGTTGTTTTTCACTGAAGAAATAATATTTCTGCGACTGGTTTCCCAGAACAGGTGTTTCCCTCTACATCTTGGAATCCCACCTCGGACAGATCTTCTTTTGCAGACTCAGTTAAAAACCTGTGAGAAACTGCTGTGTCTTCACAGTGTTTTGTCCACAGCATTTACAACATTAACAACAGATGACATATGTTTTCTTATTTTCCATGGTGATAGCATTCCTAACAAAATACATAAACCTATTATTAGTTTGTTTGTTCACATAAAACCTATGGGGAGCTGTGTGCCCATATAAAAGATATCAGGTTGCCCAAAAAATACCTAAAATGTTAGCATGAAAAAAAATGTATGCATACATGCATGTACTGTATGTATATGTATACAAGATAGCTGCAGGAGAAGGACGCTAGTCACTAAAATACGAGAGCACAGCCCTGGGAGTGGCAACTGCTGGTGGCTCAACCGCCCACTAGCTAGAAGGCAGCTCAGTTTTATGCCTAGCATCGAGAAGTATGGACCTAGATCCCTGTTGGGATCTTGGTTCTAGTAATTTATTTATCCACAGCTGAGCTGGGTGACAGGCTGGATATTATACATCCTTGTAGTCTCCACAGCTTTACCTACGAGTGCACACAGAGCTTAGCCAGTAGGTGGGTTCGGCTGCGACAGCCCCTTTCAGGATTCAGGGCAGCCGGTGAGATATCTCAAGGAGGGGATACATATGACCAATCGGCCTGCAGCTGGTCTGTCACAGTGTTTCCCTTGGCTACTATTGCGGGAGGAGGTGGTCTGTGGTGGGCGTTGGTGCCTTGGCGCCGGCCTGGCCCCATAAGTCCCTCTCTGCCCCTTTTGTGTGTATGGATGGGACCCATGGGTGCCTCCACCTCTCCTCCATATGGGAGGAATGTCATGGGGGTCCCCCTTGCTTATGGGGTTCCCCCTGGCCGTGGGTGTTGGGTTCTCTGTGCCCTCTCTCACTCATCCACCTACTGCTCATGGGGGTTGTAAGCTATGGGGGCTATCCTCTGTTATTGGCTGGCTCTCTGGTTTTTGCTAGTGTGGCATCGATGTCTGGGGGACTGGGGTCCCAATGCTGTAGCATCCGGGGGGCTGGTTGCATCCTCAGGCTGCTCTGTATGTGAGGAGGCTGCTGTGCTTGCTCTCTGTGTCCCCCCCTTGCTCTCTGTGTCTTCTGGGGGAAAGTATGGCGTACATTCACCTTTGGCCTCCTTGGGTGCTGCACTTCTGGTCAGTCGGGCAGTGATCTGTGGGCCGCCTGCTGTTGCAGCGGGAGGGGTCTCAGTGCTTATTATGTCTGGGTGTGTGTCTCTTTAACCCCTTTATGACTGAGGCCTTTTTTTTCATTTATTTGCACTCATGTTATATTCCACATATTAGGCCTGAAAATTACTTAAAACCCCCAAACATTATATATTTTCTGAAAGCCAAGACCCTATAGAATAACATGGCGGCAGTTGCAAATTTTTTATGTTGCACGATATTAGCGCAACTCCTTATCAAACCCCAGAATTTAGTGAAAAATGTACTTTAATGCCCCAAAACACAATAAAATACCCATTTTTAAAATTAAATATAAAAGATGAGGTTACAACAAATAAATAGATACCCAACATACCCAGGTTAAAAATTGTTCCGGTTTGCCCCGCCAGATTCTTCTTTCTGCGATTTGCGTTGGGTGCAGACCGTTTCCAGTTTGTGGCCTGTCCTGCCGGCCTGGTGTCTGCTTCTCGGGTCTTTGTCAAGCTTTTGTCTCCGGTACTTGCTGTGTTGAGACAGTAGGGGATCTCAATCGTGGCTTACCTGGATGACTTTCCTCTTCGGGCCTAGTCTCGGTCGGACCTGGATGCCATTCTGGCAGTGGCTATCCGCATTGGAGGCATTTGGCTGGATGTGAGTTGCCAGTAATCTGTCCGTGTCTCCGTCTTGGGTTCCTGGGCCTTGATGTGAACCTTCATCAGGCCAAGGTGTTTGCTCACGGGAAGCCTTCTAGGGTTCTGAGTATTCTTTCATCTGTTGTGTGCGCACTTTTCGGCTGTCAGACGATGTGGTGACGATGGATGCCAGTCTTTACTGCGGGTGTAGAGTGACCAGGCAACAATTGGTGTGGGCCACAGGGCTGGGAAGAGTCTGGGCTACCATTCAGGTTCTGGAGCTGAGGGCTTTGGGCTCTGTTTTTAGCACTGGATCGATCCTCTGCGTGGGTTTTGTGTCAGGATTCAGTTGGGCCACTCCATGTTCGTTGCTTCTATGTATCCTCCAGGTGGCATGAGGAGTTGCAACTTTGCACTGGAGGTGTCTTACATCCTTCATTGGGCAGAAGGTCACATCCTGGCTATGTCCACGGTATAAATAGCAGGCATAGAACATTGGAGCGACTCTGGCTCCTTGAGTGGACTCAGTGGACGCTCTGGTCTCACCATGGGACAGGTACGGACCCATTATGTGTTTCCTCCTCTGCAGTTTTTGCCGAGGCTGCTGCGGTGTTTGGATGTGGAGGGGTTCTGGTTGTCCTGGTAGCTCCAGACGGCCTTGTCATCCCTGGTATGTGGACCTGGTGCGCCTGGTCATGGATAGTCTATGGTGGTTTTTCTTTTTGGATGGATTTCCTGTTACAAGACCCTTTTTCCCAATCGTCTTCCAGCGCTGGCCAACAGTGTGGCTTTTGTAAGCCAGGCGTGTTGGCAAGGTTGCCATTAGATCGGTGGCCTTTGCTGTGATTAGGGCTCGTAGTCTACACCTTGGGAAATATCTTATCATGCCTTGATGGATCATCTGTTGTGGTGCATGTCTCTCTGTGTGTCGCCACGTGTCTTTCCATGGCTGGGATCTTGGTCTTCCTTTAGGGGAGTGAGTGAGTTTCGCACTACAGTATATGCTGTCTCGGTCAGGTTTCGGCGCTGGCTGTTTATTTTGAGGGTCCCTTGGCCTCGATTCCTTGGTTCCTGTCTTTCTCCAGGGGTGTCTCTTGGTTTGGTCGCCTTGCCTACGTGGGAATTGCATATGGTGTCTTTTGCCTTGCAGAACCTTTCCTTTTGAAAGTGTTAGAGAGCTGCATTTTTCGACCTTGTCCCAAAAGGTGGCCCGTTGGCGTCCTTCTTTTTGTCTTGGAGGGTATTGGAGTGACTGCTTTGTGTTGTTAGCTTCCGGTTTTTGGTCTTGCATGGGAACCTGGTGCGCCGTCATTTTGAAACAGGAAGGGGCCATCCCCAAACTGTTCCCACAAAGGGAGCATGAAAATTGTCCAAAATGTCTTGGTATGCTGATGCTTTAAGAGTTCCCTTCACTGGAACTAAGCAGCCAAGCCCAACCCCTGAAAAACAACCCCAAACTATAATCCCCCCCTCCACCAAACTTTACTTGGCACAATGCAGTCAGGCAAGTACCGTTCTCCTGGCAACCGCCAAACTCTGACACGTCCATTGGATTGCCAGACAGAGAAGCGTGATTCGTCCCTCCAGAGAACGGCGGCATGCTTTACACCACTGCATCCGACGCTTTGCATTTTACGTGGTGATGTAAGGCCTGGATGCAGTGCTCGGCCATGGAAACCCATTCCATGAAGTTCTCTATGCACTGTTGCTGTGCCAAACTGAATGCCACACAAGTTTGAAGGTCTGTAGCTATTGACTCTGCAGACAGTTGGCAACTTCGGCACACTGCACGCTTCTGCATGGGCTGACCCCGCTCTGTAATTTTACGTGGCCTACCACTTCGTGGCTGAGGTGCTGTTGTTCCCAGTTGCTTCCACTTTGTTATAATACCACTAACAGTTGACCGTGCAATATTTAGTAGCAAGGAAATTTCACGGATGGACTTATTGCACAGGTGGCAACCTATCACGGTAAAACGCTTGAATTCATTGAGCTCCTTAAAAGCGTCCCATTATTTCCCAACTGTTTGTAGAAGCAGTCTGCATGCCTAGGTGCTTGATTTTATACACCTGTGGCCGTTGAGGTGATTGGAACACCTGAATCCAATGATTTGGAGGGCTGTCCCATATCTTGGACTTATACTTCCTTAGTTTGACTTGTGTCCATGACCCAGTCGCAACAATCTGACAATTTTATCTCAGCCTCAATGCACTTGTGGATCCTGTCCTCATCTGGTTTCTCTGTTTGAGAGCTGTAGACTTGCAGGATTTTTATAGGAATAAAACTTAGCGCAGTTGGACAAAAAGGGACATAGACAAAGGAGGCTGCCATTGCTAAACTTGCTTCTTTCGGGATACTAGCCACCTGGCTGACATATGGATGCTTTAACTTGAAGGCTGTCTAAATCACTGATATTGGTCTGACACATTTCTGACACTAATTTAAACCATGCTTGTTCTGGGTCTGTGATTCAAGGGTACATATGTCAGACACATCCAGGCAAAAGACCACCAGTGTCATTAGCTGAGAAAGGATATGGTGTTCACCCATACATACATATTCATAAATACATTCGGGACTCATCCCTTATTACAGCAGTAAACCTATTATGGCTTACAAGTCAATGAAAATGTTACGGTCTTTATTAACCTGATTATGTTTGGTTAGTTAGTTGGTGTTACTCTAGCTGATACTGATCACATATGATTAGTTCATCAGTTTCTGTGATGTGTCATCTATGCAATTAATTTATTCGGCAACCTTCTGCCTGGAGTTTTGGATTGAAATATATTCAACAATGTTCAAATATAAAGGAAATAAATATATCACAAAGCTTACTTTAGTTTTTTTTTAAGCTTAAAGTATGAATAAAGAAAGTTGACCAGAAGTGGATGTATAAATCATTATTAAAATATTAGAAGTAGTAAGTAAATTGGACCTCTCTATTATTTCTGTACAGGTAATGCCTTAGAGAAGAAAGGAGGTAAAGAGTTTTTGGAAGCAGTAATTGAACTGAAAAAAAAGAATGGACCTTTAGATGTTGGTGGTGGTAAGTATGTCTGTGTATGCATCTAAACTGACATCTCTGTCTACCTTTGTAGAGTAGAGGATCAATACAATTTTTTACATGTGAAACCTTGGTGTGCCAGCCCAAGGGAATTTTCCTTTAAAGCAAACATGTCATGAAAGAAATAGGAAGGCTGCCATTGTTGACCACCTGAAAATGATAGTTGACTGGCTGTTATGCTGACCCATTGGTTTTGATATTTTCTAAGTCACTGATCCAGGGTCACTGATTCAAAGTACTGAAGTAGTAGGGTCACAATGATAGCCAGGCAACTGTTATTTCAAAATGGAAAGCTCGGCAACTCCTCAACCATGTTTCTCTCATGATTTCTTTTAAAGCCCATCCTATGCTTAATGGTTTAAATTTTGGATAGGGTATGTAAAGGTTAGTACCTTTAGACAGTTATCTCCACCCTCGATGGAGAGATTCTCCTTGCTTCCTGCAATGGTGACAACACAGGAAGTAAAAGTAATCACCACAAGGACAACTGCAATAAAACAGTGACAAAGGTTCTGATTCATCCCCACTTAATCTAAGAAAGTAATTATTTTGGAATGCAAGTAAAAACTGCCTTGGGTATGGCAATCCTAAACTCAAAATGCACCTTAACTGCTTGAAGGCCAGGTGTTTAGACCCCCTTCCTGGCCAGGTCATTTTTCAGTATTCAGCGCTGCGGTACTTTGACTGATGTTTATTCCGTCAAGCAACGCTGTACTGAAATGAATTTTATACAATTTTTTGGGGACACATAGAGCTTTCTTTTGGTGGTATTTAATCTTCACTACGGGTTTTATTTTTTACTATAATTAGGAAAAATTACTGAAAATTTTGAAAAAAAAAAGTTTTTTTTTAACATTATGTTGTTAGGAAACATTTATTATTACCCAGTTTTTTGGTAAAATATAAAAGTCGGGGTCACGTCGGGTAAATAGACACCAAACATGTCAAGCTTTAAAATTGCGCGCACCCGCGACATCGCAGAAAACTACCATAACCAAAATTGGCCATAGGCAACACTTTAAACGTTTTTACCGCTCATCAGTTTAGTGTTATCAGTGATTAATGGCCCTAGAATTATTGCTCTCACTCCGACGTTCGCGGCGATATGTAACATGTGCGTAATGGGCGCAATCGTCTTTTTTGCACCTATGCGCCCCCGACGCATGTTTGCATGCGTGTATGTAGGGGTGAGGACTTTAAAACATTTTTTTTTATTATTCTTTTTTATGTGTAACTGAAATTTTTTTTTTTGGGGGGGAAGGTTTTTTTTTCCGCTAAACTTTATTGCTATCACATACGGGGGCTAATAAAACCCCCCTATGTGATAGCAAAATATGTGACAGGTCCTCTTTATGGATACATCAGGGGTCTCCAAGACCCCTAATGTCACCTAGGCCCCCCAAAAGAAGCTGATGAAGCAGAGATCTGCTCCATCCGCTTATTTCCAGCTTCTGAAGCTGGAGAGTGACTCAAGAATGCGGAAGTGATGTCATATACAACACTTCCGCATTCTTGCAGAGGAGAGGGGACCAGAGGGAGCTCGTGCCGCACCGGGATCAGCGGGATGGGGGGGACCGCGGGGGGGGCACTGATCGTTACCCCATACAAGCGATCTGCCGGCTCTACAGCCGGAGGATCGCTTCTATGTTAACAGGCATCGCTGCCTGTTTTTAAATATCGGGCGTGTCTGAGTGGACATCTAAAGACGCCCGCTCAGATCTAGAGAGCTCCCGGCCGGCCCGGAGGTAGTTAAAATCCATGTCCACCTTTGTAAGTGATTAGCATTCATTGTGGTAATATAGAGTTGCAGTGATGATGTATTTGTGTGCACATTTTCATGACTCACATTGCAGTCTTTCTTCATTTTTAATTAACTTTTTATTAGGCCTTATTCCTAGAAACAAACATTTCTCCACAAGAAATTCAGTCTGATTCAAATTCAGTCTGATTCTGGGGTCAGATTGTAAAGCATCCTCCCTGTAATTCTGTTCAACACAATCTCTAAACATCACTTTTACACACAATGCACTGTCCTGGGGGTGGGGGGGGGGAGGGGTTTGCCGCTATAAATACTAACCAATGTGCGGTGGAGAGCTCATTTGTAATATATACACATTGCCTGCACCGCACAGAGGCAGCCATTTCCTGAGGATATAAAATATTTTAAAAATACGTTTCTGTGTTCATATACATGAACTACAAATGCCTGCTTCATGTTGACTCGGTGTACATTGCAGGCATATTTTTTTAAGAAAAATACCTTCGCAAAGGTGGAAATGGGCTTTAAGTTAGAACCATTTTATTTGCTGTCTGTTTCCTTTTAAGTAGATATACCTCTACTTTCTGTCCTAGAGACACAACAGGAACTGAGAGGAGATCTCCCTAAAGTGTGGGGAAATCTTTTCTTAGGCAGTTGTCACAAAAACAGATTCCCCATTTAAAGATTTCCACTCTTTTCCTGTTCTGGTGACAACTCCAAAATGTGCCTTTCCCACTACTTTCTTTCCCACTTTTAGTAGTTACCAGGACAAGTAAAAATAAAAAAAGTGAATCCCTCTAGCAAGGACACAGATGGCAGAAACCTTACAGGGTCCTAATATTTCCAAACTATATCCAAAACTGAATTAAAAAGTATGTTAGCCTTCAGTACCTCAGTGGGTCTTTACTGATGTGTAGGAGTCTGCCAGTAATCTTTCCCCGCCTCATGACTGTGACAGGTGAATTTTAACATGAAAAAAACTTTAGACAAAGATATCCTGTAATAGTTTCTCTAAATGTAAAATGAATGGCCTACTTTAAAGATGATAGTAATGGATTAACTGAAAAGCCAGGATTTCCAGAGTCATTGTGGGTTGGAGGAAGGTTAAACAAAAAACTAAAACTGTAAAAGCTCCAGCAGGGGATCAAACCCTGTTCTACTCCACCTAAAACACATTTTTGGCTGGAATTTCCCATTAAAAACTGTCTATAGCACCAATTACATGGATTGTTTTAACTGTTTGTATTCTTGAAACTTATTATTTATATAATTACAGTAACATGCTTTCTCCTAGTCATCAAAATATTTTTATGCTTCCACTGTATCATCTATCAGGTGTTTCATAACATCAGCATTAAGCTATGAACTGCTGTGCACTTTGAACCAGAATTCCTTTAACAACTGTGATACTGGCTTATTTGTAAAACGCAGACCTCTTCCCGTTAACCTGCAAAGTTCACTAAACGTACGTGGTTTCTATTTTTAAGAACGACAAAACTTAACAGACTCACATCATGGTTTGATTCTAACTCAAGAATAAAAGTCGTTGTGTGAAGGTGAAACATTTAAGCTGCCATATTGGCCACATTTTGCATATAATTCCCCATCTGATTACAGGAATGTCAGGTTGTTTTATTAGATTTCTCCTGAATTTATGACGCATTCTCCATATGCCAAATGAAACAGAGGAACATAAATTAGAACAAATTGGAAATGTCCAGAGCTCAACTTCTTCAATATGTTAGGGAACAACGCCCAACTGCACAATTGTTCTTGGTACTCCCCGTACTCCGTGAAATTTATAGGTGACCCTAGTTTTCCTGCAAACACTTCAATTTTAGTCCTTAATGATAGCCCTTTTATGTCTGCACAGAAAAAGAAAAGCAATAATGGGCAGAGAAGAAGTGTGTTCATACCAAATAAAAGCAGGTTTTCGGTCACCTCCTGAAAGATGTTGATTTGAAGAACACTGGCTTTCAATTACTTGCACATATTGCAATATTAATACACAGCAGTGTCTTGGACTGTTTAACTTTAAACTTGCAGATGGATCATGACACCGAACAGCAAACCATGAATATCACTGATTTGGTGACTTTTACTGTCATGTTTGCTGAGAATTGTAAAACATTTAGACCTTTAAGGCCGCATGCAATTTACTATTTAAGAGCTATGAATGCAGAATAGATGAGTTTTAGAGATATGATGCACATACCTTTAGACTTCATTTAGACTGAGAACCGCAGGTTGGAAAGTAATAATACAGATTTGGTGCAACGATAAGAGAACGCCTGCCACTCCTTTCTACTGAAAGTGCACCTGTACTACTGTGTGCAGTTTGGAAGTGCATTTTAGTTAAAAGAAATACCTTTTTTTAGCCAACAAACAGCCACTCAATATCATTCACGAGGCAATCGTTATACTACGCAGGTAATGACAATACCAATGGCAAAACTGTATGCCCATTCCCTAAACCAAAACCATATGATCAGTATGAATAATGAGAAAAAGTATCCCACCTTACATTGATGGTCAGTGGGAAGAATCTTCCCACTGACCACCAATGTAATGGAGATTCTTCCTTCCACTGACCGCCAATGTAAGGGGCATTTCTTGCAGTGTTGGCAGGGGTAAAATGTAAAGGCACATTCCAATCGTTGGTTTCATTTTACTACCGATACTATATAACAAAATGTTTTTTTCACAGTTTTTTCTGGAAAAACAGAAATTTTCAGGAATTTGTTTTGAAAAATGCAGTGTGGAGTATGTTTACAAATTGAAAGTCATTTTGTTACACCAGGAATGTGAAATGCAGTGTATATAAGAGTATTATGCTGGAAATAAAAGTACAGCTTATTCAGTAAATAAACTAAACTTGCTTTTTAAAATGTTATTTTTTATTACAAATGGAATAACAAGGACTGTATATGTTAATAACATTTCAACTATACATGAGAACAGGTAACCGCCACCTTTCCCTCAAAATGAACAAAACAAGCAAGAACATATTTGCAAATTGCAGATTTGCCCTCAGCAGAAGTTGCACTGCAGAAATGTGTCCAAACTCTAGATTTTGGTCTTGCCATTTTACTGAGAGGAGGAAAAAAAGCAATTACTTATTAGACTATAGGTAAACATTATACTGTGATGGTGTACAACTTTATTAGGAATCATTTAAAGGTTATAAAGATAAACTCTTACCTGTCAATTAAGGCCTGAGAGGACAGAAACTATCATCTACTATGATACCAACAATCACCCAACTGTAGGAAGTACAAGATGGAGCCCACAAGCTAACTAAACCGGAGCCTTTCCTCTGCAGTGCCCCTAGTAGCAGAAAGGCAGATTTCGTTTTGAGTTTGAGAACTGCATTGAGAAGTACAGTGTTACTTGAATTGTATTCCAGGATTTGCTCGTCTTCAGCTGAGAGAATGGGCAATAATTTAACATAAACTTCACATAAAGGGGTTGATTTACTAACCTTATAAACACACCACGAACATGTATACACCTCTGTAGTGTGTTCCCTCCCAGCATGATCTATGGGTGGAATCTAAACACCTTTGTAGTGTGTACACACCCAGCAGGTGTGTTGTGCAAAGCCCTGCATGAATTTGCAAGGTGCTCTTGTGTAAATTAGCTCTATGTTGTGTTGCTTGCGTTGATGAATGCAGGAATGTAAATGCATGAGTTAACCATTTTTGTCTAAACTGTGAAGCAGCATTATATATGCATCATGTGCATGATTTTTCCATATATGGCATTAGTGGAAATATGCTTTTAGAGACTTTTTGGTTGATAAATACGTTTTGCTGTGTAAAAATCACACGCACCTAGTGCGTGCGTGTGTTTAGGTTAGTAAATCACCCCCAAAGTCTCAGGAATCTTTCATTAAGATCTTCATGGTATATAGTTTGAATACCATGTCAAAGATATATGATTTATCATTGTAAAATAACATATTCCACCCTCCATTTATGTATTTCAATTTTTCCAGAAAAAAAACAAAAACGGCTTCGGGAGAAAAATAAAACCTGTTTTTTCCCCAATTTTTCTGGTTTTTTTTCCAGCCCTTCCCATCTCTAGTCCCATCCATACTTGGCCTGTAGAGATGAGAGCAGTTCACCTGCTTCCCATATCCCTCATCTTGTCAAATGCTATAAGAATAAAGTCTTTCACTACTCATTTCTTTTACTCCTTTTACTGATTACATTTTCTAATGCAGAGCACCTCAAAGGATGTGACTAGTGAAAGACTTCCTCTGCTGGCTCTGTGATAATGCTCTCAGCAGAGACTCTGGGATGAGCTGTTCTCAAATCTGTATGTCTGGTCTGAGAGGTCTGGAAAAGTACACCCCACGTGACTGTACCACCCACTGTATGCTACTGTTTCAAGCAGGTATAATGGAAATTGCCTACCTATGATATTTTCTTTTTTTAGTGCAGTATTCCTTGATGCCATAATCATTGTGGTCCTATAACATATCATAATTCATTTTTTGAGCCTCCTGTTGTATCTCTTTAAGTTTCAATTTGGTGATGTCTGTGTCACAGGCAAGACCACTGTATGAAAATGGGAGATTTCTCATCCAAAATGAGAGACCTGCATGTGTATGGCAGCCCTTAGAATGACGCAGAACATACTCCTCATCTGTCTAAACAACTGAGATAAAATACTATAAAATGTTAAACAAAATTTATAAGTATGAAAAATGTATCTGTTTGTGATTAGCTGCCGTCAGTTCAGGCCATGGGCTGCCTGCAAAGTTTGTAATCCACTGCAACAGCCCAAGCTGGGGATCTGACAAGTGTGAAGAGCTGCTGGAAAAGACTGTGAAGAACTGCCTGGCTTTAGCAGATGAGAAGAAAATTAAGTCAATTGCGTTTCCCTCAATTGGCAGTGGAAGGTGAGTGATATTTCATTACAGCATCCATTCATTACAGCATCAAGAGCATTGTCATTGCATTTGAACGAAAAACTAACACTGAATATACTGTAAGTAGCATCACTGTTGAAGATCTTTGCATTTCAGATCATTGTTGTAGATCAGTGGTTGTAGATATGTGTAATATTTACCGATCCTCTGTGTACAGAACAAAGACTGAAGTGATCGCTGATCATTCCAATGTTTGTAAACAACTGGGGACACATAGTACTATGTGTGCCCAGTTATGAATGAACAAGAAGTGCTTTACATCACTTCCTATTCATTTATGAGTTTCTGAATGGGCAGAAGCACTCACTATAGAGGCTTCTGTCCATTCATAACTGGTTAATAGTAAATATTTACTATCTATAGTTTGTAAATAAATTGGAAGCCTCTGTACTTAGTGCTTTACATTAATTCAGAACAGAGGCTGCAGAAAAAGAGATTGAGGACTATGTGTCCTCAATTTCTTTTTCTATTTTAAAAGGAAATGTCAGGGCTCTGTCAAGACCCCTGATATTTCCCCAACC